TTGTTGATCAATTTGAATAGAAATTTTTCTTCGCATCATGTTGAATATAATATTGACAGAAGTTGATCGGAAGTTATTACTGAAAAGTGCTCTGGAAACATGGTGCGCGCTATTTCGGCTTAAGCGCGGCTTACTGTCACATTTTAAAGACGCAATATGAAATTTGTAAAAGCCCGTGTGAGATGGAGCGTAGACCCCGAGAAAAAAATTGGACGTACAAAAAATTTACCGTGTATAGTCTCTATAAACTTCACTTTCCATTTTTTCAGAACCTCATCGACTCCCTGATCTCCAACAACCTCCACGATCCACCTACATCCTTCTACCTAGGCACATATAATTTCTCCCAACAGTCTAACAGCGGAAAACTTCTGAAATACACAACTGACTCCTTGTCTCCAAGGATTTATGCCTTAACAAAGGATGAGAACACTTTGATTGTCTACTGTTGTGGCACCACATTAGACGGGGATGAGGGACGGGTGGTGGAGTTGATGACGGATTTGTTGTATTGATTTTTGCTGGAATAAGAATGAAGAATTGTAAATTGAGATCTTGAAAAAAAGGAAAACACTTTGGAACCATCCAGAATTGGGGCCCAAAGTTTGAAAAACAGGTGTGCTAGCCACTGCGCCACCGGGGCGCATCCAGTACTATAGGTTCAGATCAGCATATCTCGGTTGTCTTTGAAGCTATCAAAAAGTGATTAACTAGTAAAATGTGCAAAATATTTTGCTTAACATTTCTCTAGTTGACCACTTTTTGACAGCTTCAAAGGCAACCGAGATATGCTGCTTTGAACATGCAGTACTGGATGCACCTTGTTGTATTTGAAGTTTCTTGTTCAGAGCAGCATATCTTGGTTGTTTTCAGTGCTATCAAAAAACTTTTAACTAATAAAATATTCAAAATGCTTTGCCGAACATTTCTTTAGTTGAGCACTTTTTGATAGCTTTACCGGCAACCGAGATATGCTGCTTTGAACTTGCAGTACGGGATGCATCTTTGCTACAGATGTTAGGAATGTTCGAAGAAGTATATCTCGGTTGCCTTTGGAGCTATCAAAAAATTATTAACTAGTAAAATGCATAACATTTTTTGTTTAACATTTCTTTAGTTGACCACTTTTTGATAGCTTCAAAGACAACCGAGATATCCAGCTCTGAAATTAAAGAGTGCCTGAATCACAGGATTTTTGATAGTTCTGCACCCTTCTCGCTCTCTAAATTGATATTTTTTAGAACAATAAGTGTTGTCAACCAATTCAACCAAGAATAAAACTTTTATTAGAATTTAAACAAAAAAATTTTCACACAATAATACCACGTCGCTCAGCTTGCTCATCCAACCGCTTATTCTTGTCCAATGTACCATTGAAAACCAGCACAGCATACAAAACTACGGCGTAAAAACAGACAAACTGTTGGTGAGAGATTGGTGGAGGGCGTGGAAGAGTGCCCTGATATCCAAAATATGGGAAGCAAATGACGAGGACAAAGTTGCCGATGACCGCTTGGAGTGCATCGAAACATGGAGGATTCCGACCAAAAACTCGGTACATTTGGAGGGGGGCAATAACAAATGGGCCGATGGTGAAGAAGAAGACTTCGATGAATTTCAGAATGACGGAGAGAGTTGGGTAGGCCTGGAAAAGGATGTTTCCGAATTTTTGTACGTTTTTCCTTTTTTTGTAAGTTTGCTCTACTCCAGCGTGGTTTGCCAGCTGTTAAGTGGTCAGAGTGAATTTTGTTGTACGTGTTTCCAGAAGGTTTCATTCGCAGGTTTTGTCTTACTGTAGGGTCGCATGCCAACTGCGTGGCGACTCAGCGATACGTAGGCATTTTTCTCATTTCGTTGAAAAATTAAAAATCAGGGCCTAAGCCTTTTTTGAATCAAATTGAATAGAGATTTTTCTTCGCATCATGTTGAATATAATATTGACAGAATTTGATCGAAAGTTATTACTGAAAAGTGCTCTGGAAACATGATGCGCGCTCTTTCGGCCTAAGCGCGGCTTACTGTCACATTTTAAAGACGCAATATGAAATTTGTAAAAGTCCATGTGAGATGGAGCGTAGAAACCGAGAAAAAAAATTGTAAGTTCAAAAAATACACAGTGCTCGCTTTTTTGCACAATTTTCGAGTTCGTGGTAAATTCGCTCTAGCGCACACAAGGAGCTACAGTAATTTGCCATTTCCATTTCTAGCAAAAATTGCGCGTTCATTTGAGAAAGTGCGCTCTAATGCAAAATTTTACGTCTCCGATTTTTCCGGGAGCTGTATTTTCAGTATTTTGGGGGTAAAAAAGCAAAGAGAGACAAAACATTCTTTATTTTTCTCCAAAAACGAAAAAAAAACAATATTTTTAAGTTGGACATTTTTTTTTAGTCCGAAATTGCTTGAAAACAATGAAAAAATTGTTAAATTTTTGTTGAAATTTGGTGGAAAAATCGATTTTGCGTGGTTAAGAAGCCGAAATTTGGAGAAATTATAAAAATTTGAACGGCGCGCCAAATTGGCGATCTTCAATGGAGCGCACTTCCTTTTTTTCTGGAAGCTTCAAGACCACGTGGCTAAGTATTGCCGAACTCCTTTTACGAGAACCGTAATTTCTATTCAATTTGATTCAAAAAAAGCTTAGGCCCTGATTTTTAAATTTTCAACAAAATGAGAAAAATGCCTACGTATCGCTGAGTCGCCACGCAGTTGGCATGCGAGGCAGAGCCCGCGAGTAAAACCTTTTGAAAACACGTACAAAAAATTCACTGTGAAACTACATGCGCCTTTAAGTTCAAATGAACTTACCGTTAAACAAGGAATCCAAGCCACAGTCAACGCGATGGCCACTGCTGAAGTCTTCAATACCGCCATTTGATTCATGTATGGTCTGGCATAAAACCTGGTGAAAATATAGGTTGTAGTGACGAAGACCTTCATCGTCAATTTTATCATGAATCGTTGTGATTCAGAATATCCCAAAACGGTGAGCTCAGTATCGGTGGTGACGAGATTGCCGACTCCCATCAAGCTAAGGAAAAAGGCCATGGATTGCTTTATCGATTTTTTCGAAATGAAATATATACGTGAAAAAAATGACTTGGAAAAATTTATTAGGATTTTTCACGTTGAATAAATAGAAAAACAGAAGCTTTTAGTGTGAGAAAGTGCGCTCTAATGTTGCCACATGGAATTCAAATGATCGCGTAAGAAAAAAAAATTGTGCAATAGAGCGCGGTTACTGATGATGCCGGCGCGGTTTTTGAATATTCGGAAAATTTTAATTTATTTATCGATTTTTATCGATTTTCGACGATTTTTGTAACTTTTTCTAAAAGAAAAACTCGAAAAATCGATGAAACTTGATGAAATTCGATAAATCTTACGGTAGCAATTAAATTTATACGGTAGTTTTTGTGGTGAGATATCGCGGCCGTCAATTCGGCCACAACTGACTTGGCCGCCTAAATACAAGCGCTGACGGCCGCGGCCACCTAGTCCCCAACCCTAAACGCCGCTGTAAAAAATCAATAATCCGAATACTTTCATTTTCAAAGACAAAAATCGAGTTAATCACTTCTTTTCCTCCTTCCCCTTGCCGGCAAAATGATTTTCGGCCGAATTGAACGCCATCACCATTGGCACCGCCTTCAATTGATTTTTCAACGGATCCATCGACAATTCACTCGGACGACGTTCCAACGGAGCCGGCTCATCGATCGATTCTGTCGAGAATGTCTTCTTGTTGGCAAGGGCGGCTAGCTCTTCTGGAGTTTTCTGGAAAAATTGGAGATGGGGCGTGTTTGCATAGCTTAATGCAATTGCGCTCCATTGGACTCCCTGTCCAAAGTGCGCTCCACTGAAATCGCGCGGCGATTCAAATTTTTCGTATTTTTTCGCAATGCAAACACGTTCCAACGTCAAATCTCGTAGTTTTGATGTAAAAATTGAGCAAGCGCGCTCTGTTGCGAATTTCCCGATTTTCGGAGACAATTCAAAATTTCTACATTTTCTGATAAAATTATGGATTTTTTTCGACACAAAACAGAAAAATAAGCATAAAATGATCATTTGTGACATAATTTTATGAATAAAACCTCAAAAAATGTGATTTTTCGAAATTTAGGCTACGTATCGCCTTCATCATATGCGGCGCAGCGAATATGGAAATTTTGAATCGCCGCGCAGTTTTAGTTGAACGCACTTGCTTCAAATAGACAGCCAGTGTGTTCTATTGGACCTACAAGACGAAAAATCATATTGAAGCTTACAGAAAAATCGATAATTATCGATCTATCTACGCTTCCCGCCGAAAAAACAGAAATCGACAGTGGGGCGCGTTTGCATAGCTTTCTTGTCGTAACTGCGCTCTATCGAACCTGGGAAACACAAGAAACCTTATCGGACTTTACAGAAAAGTCGATAATTATTTTTTGATCTAAGCTTGGCGCCAAATTTACATCTGCAGAAGTTGTCATTGGAGCGCGCTTGCCTCTCTCCTTGGGAGCAACCTCAATGCACCTGCGCTCTACTGAACTACCTTTTTAAGCATCTTGGCCTTCTCGGCCTCTGTCCGTCCACCACTTCCAGTGGTGGCACTCTTCTGATCCGACGACGATTTGTTCTGCATATTGTCTTCTTTCGCGATGCCCGAGAGGATTTTATCCATGTAAATCGTCGCACTTCCACCACACACAAACACCGAAAGGAATGAATTTTTTGAGCGGGAAATTTCATTTTTTGAAAAAAAAAGTTTTTTTAGCCCCGTGACCTTCACCCGAACTCTAGAAACAAGGGGAACACGTGGGGGTCCCCCCTCCTCCACGAGGACTCCACGTGGAATAATGACAAAATCAATAAACTCCGGAAGTTCCCGATCAGTTCCTTTTATTTTGGTTGATATCGTGTTGGACACTTACCCGCGACACGTGGCACTTGAACGATCTGGTGAGTCTGCGTCTCTCGCCTAACGTATAAGGGCAAAGAGGGTCGAGTGTGGCAGCGGCAGCATGGCGCAGTGGGTTACGCTTTTGTCTATCAGGCAGATGGGACCCCTGGGTTCGAACCCCCGCTGGTGATTATTTTTCGTTTTTTTTCTGGCACGTCCTATGCATTAGGCAAGTGCGCTCTAATGATAACAATGTGATTTTTCCGGAGGAAACTCAAATTTTACTTATTTTAAAAGCTATAACTAGTGCAAAAAAGCTGTTCGTTTTTTTGTTTGCTTTTGAGGCGAAAAAATCAATATTTTTCAATCAAATCATAATTGTTTCAAGTCCGAAATTGCTGAGAAACAAGGGAAAAATTCTAGATTTTCAAAAATTTGGAGGAAAAAAACGAAAAATGCTAAGCTACGGCAAATACTCAAGTGCTATGGGGGTTGATCTTGTGCTATGTGCCAATTTTTCGAAATTTGGATCTTGTGCTATGACTATTGTCTCAAGTGCTATGAAATTGAATGGAGAAGAAGCACTTGATCCGTAGCACAAGAGCTAAAATAGTACATGAGACAATATCACTTGATCACCCCGATAGCACATGATCATCCCAATAGCACTTGATCATCCCAATAGCACTTGATCATTCCAATAGCACTTGATAATCCAAATAGAAATTGAGTATCTACCTTAGCTTTAAGTAGACACTCAATTGCTATCGGGATGATCAAGTGCTATTAGGATGATCAAGTGCTTTCGGGATGATCAAGTGCTATTAGGATGATCAAGTGCTATTTTAGCTTTTGTGCTATAGGTAAAGTGCTATACGCTAAGTATCGCAGCATAATGAGCCGGTATTTTCGAGGAATCAATGAAATTTTTGACGGCGCGCCAAATCAGTTCAATGGAGCGCACTTGCATTCTTTTTTTCCAAATGTTCTGCGAAATTCTGCGTCTCTCCCCTCGTGTATAAGTGCAAGGGGGGTCGCCTAGTGGCGTCGGCTGCATGGCGCAGTGGGTAGCGCTTTTGTCTATAAGCCAGGTGGGACCCCTGGGTTCGAACCCCGGCATGGGGGTTTTTGTTTTGTTTTTTTTTTCTAGTACGTCTCATGGATTAAGAAATTGCGCTCTAATGCAAAAATATGGTTTTCATGTTCAGTGGAGCGCACTTGCAAATTTTTTACAATTTTTTTTTAATTCAAAAAATTTTCAGAAAATGGGCAAAATAGAGACATGGGAAGTGGCTGGCCGAACTGACGAGTCGATCACGTTTCTGTACAAACGACGTACCTATAATGAGGAGAAGTTGGAGAAGAATTCGAAGAAGAAGCCGAAAAATGATGATGATGGATTTGATGAGGAGACACGGGCGGTTCTTCGGAAATTGGATGATTTGAATATGCAAATCCGGAAAAGATATCATTTTGGGTCGGTGGAGGAGAAGGTGGAGGATAAGGTAGAGGAGAAGCAGAAAAAGAAGAAGATTTCGAAAACTAAGGCTAAAAAGTCGGAAGATTTGAAATCGGAGATGGATGAGAATGATTCTTTGGAAGAGAAATTTGACGATAGTCATGTCATGGTGAATGGTGTTCTGGTGAAGAAGGGGACTGGATCGGAGCCGGTGGATCATCGTGGAGTGTGAGTGTTGGGGACAGGGGGCAAATACTCAACTGCTATATTTGGCTCTTCTGCTATGGATCAACTGCTATTGTCGCCACTTTTGATGTCTCAACTGCTATGGCTGTAGCAGTTGATCCATAGCAGAAGAGCAAAACATAGTAGTAGCAGTTGATCACCTCCATAGCAGTTGAGCATCTATCGGGACGGGGGTGTGCAAACAACAGTTCTCCGGAACTTCGGAATTCGGAGTTTTTGGGAAAAAAAAAATAATTTTTGAAGTTTTGAAAGGCGAAACAAAACCGAAAAAAAATTTTTTTTGAATTTTTTCAGAAATTTTCTTTTCGATTTTTTTTTCACCAAGTTGTTTTTGATGAAAAACGGATAAAAAACTGATGAAAAACCGCGAAAACAAGTTGAAATTTCGAAAAAAAAATCCAAATTTTTCCAAAAAAAAATTGTCCACGCAGACTACACGAGCAGAGTTTTCTTGGCCATCATCTTGCGCGCATTTTCGAAAAAAAAGGTTTTTTTCATAGTTTTTTCGGGTTTTTTCTCTGATTTTTCGGTGAATTTTACGACAAAAAGTAGTTTTTTTGGTGTTCAAAAGGTGAAAAAGTTATAGCAGAAAAAAATTTTCGAAAAAAAAGTGATGAAAAATTTTTTCTGGAAGGTTCTAGGGAAATACCCTAAAAATATTTTCCCGGACAAAATTTTCTCGTATAATCCGTATCAGTGAGGTCAGGAAATTTCCAGAAAATGATTATAAAAAAGAAAAAAAAACATTTGACCCCAATGGGGTTCGAACCCCCGTTGAAAATTTCAAAAACAGCAGCGCTAACCACTTGGCCGCAGGAGCAACGGGCGGCCAACTGTGAGGGGCGTTCATAAACCCCCATCCCCTTTCTCGTGATCGCCCCCCCCCCAAGCAAAAAATGCCCCCGCCTAGTACTATATGTTCAGAGCAGCGTATCTCGGTTGTCTTTACAGCTATCAAAAAGTGATCAACTAAAGAAATGTTTAGAAATTATTTTGAACATTTTACCAGTTGACCACTTTTTCATAGCTCTAAAGACAACCGAGATAAATCAATTTCCAGACCACTATCCCACCCGATGGCAATGACTCCATACCCAGGTGCCACCACAGCAGCTCAACGTGAAAAGGCGCGAAAGATGTTGAAGGAGATTGCGAAACAAATGCATGAGGAGGAAATGAAAAAGAAGGCGAAGGAGGAGAAATCTTCTAGTACCAAGTCCAGCACGAAAAGTGAACTGGAAAAGAGCAAGAGCAACACTTCAAAGTCTTCTAATAAGTGAGTTTGGAGGAAGGTGGAGAAAGTGCGCTCCAGTGAGATTGCGCGGCGATTCAAATTTCGTAGAAATTTTGAATTCCCTCCGAAACTCGGGATATTCGCAGCGGAGCGCGCTTGCTCCAAGCAAGTTTTCTCAAATTGAGTTCCTTCAGAAAAATGGGGTGTGACAAGTGTGGAAGCTGCCAGAAATGCATCCACCGTTGCTCTCAAAAACATCCGGCCGCGCAGAAAGTGACTTTGGAGGAACGTGACGAGTTCCTGAAGAGCATCAAAAATCTTCGTCAACGGATTGTCAAACCTGAGGTTTTTTGAGAGTTTGGGCCCATTTTTCAATGAATCTTATTCAGAGAAGCCGTGAAAAGGCGACCAAATCACCGTATGATGTGACACAAAGTGAGTCGGATTCGGATTTGAGCAAGAGTAAGAGTGTCAAGGGATCGAAGAAGAAGAGTCAGGAGAAATAAATGATTTTTATGCATGTAATTGAGGAATAAAGTGGATTATGTGAAATTTCAGCTCGGATTCAAAAAATTTAGAATTTTTTTTTTTGAAAAATTTGCTTTGTTCCAAAAAAAAAAAGGACATTTTTCGACTGAAAACTCATTAAAATAGTGTAAAATTATACAAAAACATAAACTACTGTTTTCATGCTCAATATAACCTTGGAGCAAAAAATTTTTTAACTTTTTTTGGATTTTTCAAAATTCGCGGTAATCTTCCGGCCAAGGGGCCTCCGGGGCGGTCCATGCCTTGAAAATTGGTGGGAAAGCCCGCCCTGGTCCGTCACGAGTGGCAGCAGGTAGCTATACGTTGCCCTTTCCCTAATCCATTACCTGGGTAAAGGCCAGCAGGTAGCTATACGTTGCCTTTTCCCTAATCCATTACCAGGGTAAAGGGCAGCAGGTAGCTATACGTTGCCTTTTCCCTAATCCATTACCTGGGTAAAGGCCAGCAGGTAGCTATACGTTGCCCTTTCCTTAATCCATTACCAGGGTAAATGGCAGCAGGTAGCTATACGTTGCCCTTTCCCTAATCCATTACCTGGGTAAAGGCCAACAGGTAGCTATACGTTGCCCTTTCCCTAATCCATTACCTGGGTAAAGGGCAGCAGGTAGCTATACGTTGCCCTTTCCCTAATCCATTACCTGGGTAAAGGCCAACAGGTAGCTATACGTTGCCCTTTCCCTAATCCATTACCTGGGTAAAGGCCAGCAGGTAGCTATACGTTGCCCTTTCTCTAATCCATTACCTGGGTAAATGGCAGCAGGTAGCTATACGTTGCCCTTTCTCTAATCCATTACCTGGGTAAAGGGCAGCAGGTAGCTATACGTTGCCCTTTCCCTAATCCATTACCTGGGTAAAGGGCAGCAGGTAGCTATACGTTGCCCTTTCCCTATTCCATTACCTGGGTAAAGGGCAGCAGGTAGCTATACGTTGCCCTTTCCCTAATCCATTACCTGGGTAAAGGGCAGCAGGTAGCTATACGTGGACCTTTCCCTAGTGCCCTTCCTGGGTAAAGGGCCGGACTAAGCGATACGTTGCCCTTTCCTTAATCCATCCGGGGAAACTGG